ATTATATTGAACAGTTAAATTATTGCTTACTGAACAGTTGGCTTATTGCTATAGAAAGATTATACAATGAACGATGGAAACCTGATGAGCGTTATAGGTTCCATCTACGAACTTCAACTCGTCAACATATTTTTTGTAGATCAGTGAACCAAGACGTCGCTGCTGTTTCATTCCCACCTGAAATCTTTCCGTGCGAATAACTGAGTTTATCAACTTCAAGCACCAAGTGGCACATGCAAAGGGCGACTGTGAACATAAAGCCCCACTCGGAATCATACAAGTCCGGGAAGTGCTGACAGGAACTGATGGAGGTAAATGCCCTTGCTGGAGTCTTCTGATTTCCATAAGTTGCTTTGACATCGTCAAAACTGACCAAAGCGAATTGCCAGAATCAAACTGATGACTAAAATGGCCTGTATGGCCAAGTTGACATATCGAAGATTTGAATTGATCGCATAGAAATTATACTGTTCATGTAATTTGAGTAACAACTACTGCTCAAAAAACAAGGAGCTCATACCGGAGTGAGCTGACCAAAGCCTTCAGGCCAAGTGCTTTCAACGTTTGCCTTGTCATTAGGACACAGACCGGTGGGTGTTCGATCGCCGTGTCGCCAGAACTGTAATAATAATGCTTGGAAATTCAATTGCTTTCGACTTTTCCGATAGCAAATCTGATCATAATTTCAAACAATCAGTTAAGTTCCCTGTTCTTGTTCATGCTGATATGATTATTCTGAAACTTCACGGCTCATAATGTGACCATTAATATGAACAGGGGGTTTTAGTTAAATCTAGCCCAAATGATCCGATTCAATTGAAAATATTATTTATAAAAATTCAAATTTGAAAATTTCGACGATTGTGCATCTTTGCTATGCTTTTCGCAGAAAATTTACGACTTTTTCATTTGGCCTTCGTGCAAATGATCTGAAAATCATACGCTGTGGTAGATCGTTACAGTTTCACCAACAGATCAACTGTGATCAGCGATGAATTTCAACTAGCTGTGCTATTTTGCGCAATCATTTCATCGCATAATTTTTGGCTGATTTTGTCTTGATTTGCAGATTGCAACCTGATGAGAGTTGCCTTATATGCATCTTCAGGAACCGGCTCGTATTCAGCCAGTGCGCTGGAAAATATATCTTTGAAAGGTCAACGGACTAATGATTCTGAACATGAATCGCTCACAGCTTGTATGAATATGAGTTGTTCGCCATTCTGAGCTTCTGTTTTCTTTCCAGCATTCCCGACATCACGTTTCACCCGCAATTTCGGATTCGTTCTGTTTTCGTCAGCAACCTGTTTTGTCGTTTCTGGTGCCTTCTTGGGGGTTGACTTCCAGTCAGCCGGTACATCATTGCACAACTGAAATTACAAAATCCATCAGTGGAACTAAGTGAATCGGTATTTTTGACTGGAATCGACAATTGTTTTTTGATGCAACGTAATTCTTTCCTTTATGTACGAAATTGACTGGTTGACAAATGTATTCAGTTTCGTGACGATCAGTCTGATGACCTGTTAATGTGCTCATAATGACAGCTACATTCATGAAACATTCTGCGAGTGCAAGCGACAGAATTGGTTGCAAACAAAAATAATACGGTGTGTAAGACATCAAGCAGGTCGAAGTATTGCAACGCTCATATTTTTTAGAGCTGCTTTCTGTTGCTTCGTAGTGAAACTGAACAACAAAACGAGTTTTCAGCTGATTGATGAATTGAAGAACATTGGTATACTGGATCCGATAATTTATATACATTCGTCCATCTTTTGAATATTTGACTATACCTTAACAATATCATTTACGTAATATTTCTTCACGGGTTTCTTGAATTCATCGTATGGGCAGAAATCTGCGTTGCAGTCTGAAATATGACTTCGTGTCGATTGTTCAGTTATTTGAAAGATCAATATTTCAGGACGGAAAATTCCTAGCCGGTGAAAACTGCTTAGAGAGCTACTCTTGTAAACACCAAGGGCCACTCTTGTAAGCGAATCAGGACCATGAGTCGCAGATGCCTTTGAAACTTTCAGATTGATTCACTTGCACACGTGAATTGCAATTGGTGTCCAAGAATATGGATAGTGTTCCAGTGCACTGGTATACTTTCATACTGCTGCTAGTTTCAGTGAAAAGAAGAAGATGGAATTTGATCGATGACTAACTTGGAAGAGAACTTGTGACATTCCTGAACTTATCGCCGGGATTATCGCGATATCTTGCCTGAAATTCAATGAAACCTGCGATAAATATATCTGCTCATATAACCAGTAATTTGTGTCACTCTTCAAAAACATTCACAAGTGTGCTAAGTGCTATTTCGATTTTCACTTGCTTACAAACGAAGCGATCAATAGCTGATTAAATGAAATAATCAGGTGAGTTAAGGCAAACTCTAATGGAAAATCCTCCAGCGTCTGTCTTCCATAGCTCGATCACAAATGTAGCTGTGAAACCGGGTAGAGAAACTGGGAGAATCTTGTCTCTTGCTTCCAGCGCCGTTAACAGTGCGTCAATTGTTGCCCAATGCTTGAAAATGAAAACATAAAAATCAAAATACTTCAGTTTCTGCAACGAAACAAGAAGGGAGCAAGCGAAAAATAACGATTCTTGATTGAGCAGATAAAAGTCTGGTTAAGGAACGCACCGAGGAGTATGCATAATATTTGAGTTTACTCATCCACGAGCAATCGTTTTTATTGGCGTATGCCGAATCCATGCACCGAATCTACAATTTCAACAAAATATTATAAGTGATGACAGTGACAGCAAAATGACAGAAACAGTGATAACAATAGTAGACGAATATACCTTATGGTCCATATGATCGATGATATCTTTGATCAACGCACCTGATCGCACACGA